CACATTGTCCAAAAACAGTACTTAAAAACGTGATCTGGATGAAATTTTCTCCCTAGTTGGTGAATAGCATTGATATTTCAGCTATGTTAATGACATGTGCCGTTAGCCAATGACTAGCATGCGTTCAAGGTTATTGGAGCGTTCGCACTCCTGGGACGCTATTGTTGAATTTCGCCACCGTGGCGAATACATTATTGGTAATTGGATGATGTTTCGAGCACAACTGTATTGCTCACAATCATATCAACGTATAATTAAGCTAAGTGATTAAACTGATATGATTATGAGCAATACAACTGTACTCGAAACGCAATCCATTTATCTAATATGGGATTCTATTCTACTACAGTGCCCAAATGCTACACTTGTGGTAAGAGCTGGCTGCTAGCCAAATTGATAGACAGTAATTTACGTCCCCAATATTGGTCGTGACAAAAATAAAAACAGAGACTGACTCAACAACCAACCACAGCAGACTTTGCGTAGGCGGATACAATTTGCAGATAGACAAATCTGAACTTCAATAAACGCCCACAAAGAGATGAAAGTTTAACGTTCAGCGAGAAACCACCAATCAGAAGACTGTTTGTTTGCTTACAATAATCTATAATAATGTATATGAAAATCAATAAATATGTGTTGATTTCCTAAATAAACGATCTGTTGACTGGCCCTTGTCTTCTGTTGTTACACACTTACATACGTTGGTGTTTATCATTTGACCGGGTGACCGTTTGATCTTCAGTATAGAGTGAAAAGGGCTTGTTGAAAATGCTTTTCGTGACGCAGCAAGTATCTGAACTGTTTATTAGCACTAATTAACTTGACATTAATTTTGAAAACCAGCGTCTCGTTTGTTATGCTTAGTGCCGTTGGTTTCCACACTGATTTCAGAGTAATCAACGCATTTTTGTTTTCCCCTAGTATTTTATATGGGATGTTGTATCTTAAATTTCTGTGCAAAGTTCTACGATGAAACTCAGCCAGTCACTAATCCAATGAGGCACAACGTCATGTCTCTATTCCTGATAGTATATATATATATATATATATATATGGCCAAGTTAAACTTTAAGCACCACTAAATACCAGTGGAGTACGACCGCACCAGTGACCTTGAGACGTGCGCTGAGCAAGTTAGTGAAACCTGGCAAATAATGTTGTCATCATCAATAAAATATGTTCATCGAAGTGTTATGCTATTAAATGGGATATCTAGCAAGTTGCAGCTTAGGTTTGGGAAAGATAAAGGTACGCCTTAAGCCAAGAACAAGTTAGAGTTAGGTTAACCTAATAAATGCGACATTAGGATTGGTTGGAGTTAGATTACAACTAGTTTAGAGATTTTCGCACGTTAGGTTTAGGTTCAGGAAAGATTACATGCAGAGAATGTGGTTAAATTTCTCAGTTGATATAATAATAGAACTTGTACACTGTGTTGGTAGAGTATAATTCCATTGTGGGCAACATTTATTTTAATAGAGCCTCAGTGTTATACAGTAATATTTACTGATGACGTTACGAGCACATTTTATTGCTCAGTAAATATTACTGCATAACACTAAGAGACTTTATCAAAATAAATTTTACCCACAATCGAATTATACTCTGTTGATGCTCCAACTTAAAACTGAGAGCTATTTTAATCACATGTGAAAGGAAGGTATCCTCTGTATCACTTTTCTACAGTTTATATGCATCTTTTTCATAAATATATGTATTCCATAAATAAAAGTGCCTCCTTCACTTGATTGGTGCGTTCGAGGTCACTCGCTGGTTGGTAGTTACTGGTGCTTAAAGTTTAACTTTGCCACACTATTAAATCATAAGTTACAATTATTATTATTATTATTATTGTATCCTCTAATTCCTAGAGGAACATAGGGCTTCAGCCGTGCGTCTCCATTCCGTTCGGTTCTCTGCTAGAGTCTTCACCTAGCTCCATGTCTGCCCACACGTTTTCATCTCCTCTTCACATCACCTCCTCCAAGTCACCCTTGCACTGACGACCAACTCACCGCTTCCCTTTCGGGTTCCACTCGAGTAATGGCTTGTCTAGTGATGTCACTTGATGGTTTCCTAAGAATATAGTCAATCCATCTCCATTTCTTCCCGCCTATTTGTTTCACAATCGGTTCCTGCTGTGTTGGTTCGCTCCCAGAAATCCCTCACTACTGCTGATCTTTTCTGGCCATCTGATCTTGAGTATTGAGCGAAGACAACTGTTAATGAAGGTGTGTAGTTCGTTTGAGATGCTCTTTATGACGCGCAGTGCAAGTCTCTGATCCGTATAGTAGCACTGACTGACTTCACATTGGAGTTGAAAATCCGGATCTTGTTTTTGATGCTGAGTGTTGTTGACCTCCACAAAGACTTGAGAGTAGTGAAAGCTTGTCTTGCTTTTCCGATCCTTGCTTTGATATCCTCATCAGTTCCGTCCGCCTGTAGTTGAAACGATGCTTCCCAGGTAGGTAAAAGAGGTTGTTTTTTTCAGGTTCCTCCCATTTATGCTGATTGTTGTCAGTTGTTGCTGTTGGTGGTGTTGACCAAGAATCTTCATTATCTCTGTTTTCTCTATGTTCACCTGAAGTCCTATCTTCTCCGGATGCTTCTTCTGCCAACTTGTTGCTTTTCGCTTGCATATCTTCCAGTTTGTGGGAAATCAGGCATATATCATCGACGAAGTCCAGATCCTCCAAGTTTTTTGTGTGTGTCCATTTTATGCCTATCTCCTCATCGCCCGCTGTTTGTCGCATTATCCAGTCTACTGCAATCAGGAAAATCATTGGCGATAGTAGGCAGCCTTGTCTTACAAAATGGTATCTAAATATAATTTTCTCCAGGATGACGTCAAGTTATAGATAGAAAGTATGTGAGAGGTGCATTTAACAGAACATTTCCCGCCTCTAGACTGATTCCGTTTACAACACTCTATGCTCACTAACTCAGTCAAAAGTAGATAAGTAACCTGTTCCGCATGTCAACTCCAATTGCATTTATCAATTCACTTTCACTTGAGGTGGTAACAAGTACATAAGAAATACTGAGAAGAGAGAGTCTACTAAATTTTCTCAGCCTATCCCTAAAAGTCTCTACATGAAAAGGTAGCAAATTGACCTTAAGTGAAATCGCAAGACACCTTAATTGACATGCGATATACAGTGGAAATTAGTCAGGTTTTCAAAAAAATCAATACACAAAGAAAATCATAGTTACTCCAGTTCACATAAGGCATTGGTATTAAAAGACTTCGACCCAAACTCTGTACACAGGAAGATAGTGTGACTAATCTCTCACTACTCTACCTGGTAACCGTAACTGTTTTGTTCTGTTGCATGATATTTCACTTAATTTTGATTTTTACTTAATGAGTTGAACTCACTATTAAAATTTCATATCTAATTAATTGTGCCTGTCTGTCTTATAATCCTACTTTACTATTCACTCCCATTTTCGTGAATTCCCCACCATTATATTTTTTATTCCTTTGCGTTCCCACTGGAGCATAGGGCTTCAACAAGCTAGAGACTTGAAGTTTCGGTAGCAGTGGTGTTTATTTTTACGGGATGAGGTTGCTAGCCTAATGCCCAACCTTCCCTCTTTACCAATCTTATTACTGGCTTAGACAGGTTTAAGAGTATGTCGGCCGGGAATCGAAACCCAAACAACATACGTGGTTGGCGAGCATTCTACCGCTGTGCCATCGATGTACAATCGGCAGGAAGCCTTGAACCTAGTTTTCCTGCTAGATGGCACTCGTCAGCAAGGTGTATTTTTGACCTTGAAGGAACTCATGTCCCTCCTAAGATTCGGACCTGCATCCCTCAGTGCTGCAGTCAGAGGCGTTACCACTGAACTATTCCGACTCCCACCATTATATATACATATATATTATTACTTCCTTGGGTTCCGAGTGGAAAGTGGGGGGCTTCAACAGCACTTCTCAACTTTTTTTCTATTTTCTGCTGTCCTCTTCAACTGGATACACGATTGTCCATAATCTCTCACCTCCTTCTCGCACGATATCCTCTATATCACTCTCACATTGACGATCCACTCGTCGCTTCCCATTTGAGTTCCACACGAGCGATGGCCTGCATTCTGCGTGATGTCATTCGACGGTTTCCTCAGTGTATGCTCAATTTAATCTGCTGTTCGATCTGGTATTCTGACTCTAGTCAATCCTTGTTGCTTAACAAAATCTGTACTCCGCCCTCTACTCGGTCTAATGAATAGTTAGCCTTGCAACACGCTAAGTAATTTGTCTACTTAAATTATTTTCTGGAATTATGTTACTTATACTTTCTACCTATAACACGACTTCACTCTGGATAAAAGTATGTTCAGAAATATATGTGGTTAGAGCTGGCTGAGAACAAGCCAAAATTGTAGACAACAATTTACGTGAGTATTACGTTCGAAATCAGAGTCATTTGAAAAAAAACATAAAATCCTTAACCTTGAGGAACTCTCCAACCAATCACAGCAGACTTAACGTGTGGAAATACGATTTGCAGATATATGGCTTAACTGTCTAAGAAACGGTCACAAGCAGTCCAGAATAATCTTCAGCAGAAAAACAACCAATCAGAAGACGTTTCTCCTTGGCTGACAATAAAGTATACGAAAATCTATAAATATCTGTTGATTTACTCAATAAACGACCTGTTGCCTGCCTCTTGTCTTCTATCATTAAAAATATACTGATGATTAGACTACCTATGACAGCCTTGATTGACCAACCACCCACCTCAAAGTTTGCGCTGAATATGCTGTCCAGAAAGACAATGGAAGCTTCCCAATGAAAAATCCATCCAACTCCTAGAGAACGCAACCACGTGGAGAAGAAAAAACATTCACCTAAGCTACAAATATCCCTTTTGTTTTTCTTTTTAATTAGTTTAACACCAAACTACACACAAATTAAGAGGCAAAAAAGTAATATATTAAACTTCAAAGTACACAAGTTATATGTTATACAAAAGCATTTACATCGCTTCAGTTCATAAAAATGCAGATGGGAGGAGGACGAGGACGACGAAGTCAACGGCGACTTACTAGTCAGTGGCGTATTCATAACGATTTCCACTAGAAACTGACAAAAGACAACAATGCAACTGTTATGTAGCTTCAGTTGACTCGATGATACTGTCAGTATGTGAGTGTGTTCCACTCTGAAGTCTATTGGTTTTCTTCAAACTTTTGACTAGATCACGTTCCCAAACTTTTTCAACTAATCGATAAATAGCCATAGATGCACAAGCATCTTCAATTGAACAATGCTCACCATCTTGAATATTTACACCTAGATGGGTTGGGGGGACGGATAAAAAAAGAGTTGAAATATTATGAAGAGTGAAGCCTGAAACTTGGCTAGCGCGTCACGAAAAACACTTTCAACAGACTATCGGAGACTTTCATCAATAGCTGCCCCCTTCACTGACCAACCAGAAAGAATTAGCAACAAGGAATTATGGGAACAAACTAACCAACAACCTATATCGCCCAACAAGTATTCCGAAGAAAATAGAGATGGATCAGACAGACACACTGAGGAGACCCTTCAAGCTCCATGTAATTGCTCGAGTGGAACCCGAATGTAAAACGACGAGTCGGGTGTCGGTGCAAGGGTGACACGGAGAAGATGGTGTGATGAGGAGACGAGAGCCTATGGGCAGTCGTGGAGCCAACTAATGAGGACCGCAGAGAACAGGACTAAGTGGAGATGTGCTGTTGAGGCTCCATGTTCCACTCGGAACCAAAGGGAATAATAATAATAAAGCCTGCTTGGAAATAACAATAGATGGTGAGTCAAATTGAATTTATCAATTACAACAAATAGACACAAGGTACCAAGCAGACAGTTTGCAAGGACATTTACAATAATAGACAGATAAAACAACAGTTAAAATATTTTTCCCCTTTTTCCGAGGCTTTTATGATAAGATGTCTAAAAATATATACCCCGACTACTTTGGTATCATTACATTGTAGGTGTTTGCCTATTCAATTACATCATATCTTCCTATTTCGTTCAATTGATTTTCATAGTAGACTGAATATTCAACAGCAGTTCAAGTTGACACACCTCATGCAGCACACAAAGATAGAGGGATGTAAACGCAAAGGAACCCTAATGAACAGAAATGTGTAGCAGAAAGAATGCTTCCATCGAGAAACATGAGGAACTAATGGATCTGAAAGATTATACAGAGTGAATAAATCTCCACCAGTGATAGCAATTTTCAGCCATATCACTGAAAGTCCCCAACCATTCGTTACTGGAATCTTAGGGACCCTAACCAGATAGTCTACACCTTTCGACATGGGTGGATCCCATAGACGACCTGGTTCAGCAGAGGGGGGATGATCTTAGCTCTTTCTCTCTCTCCAAACGTTCTCATATGGCTACACGTTTACAGCCACTATCAGGTAAGTCTTATTCACAGTCTTCATGTGGACGGGTGGGGAGGATGTTGGTCACAAATGTGAAAGAGTGAATACGAATGTCTAGTGCTTACAACAAGATTGATGGACATACTCGTCTACTTAGAGGAACTAGAAAACCCTGACACCAAATCTACAGTGTACATCAACATCAAAATTCAAATGGAACGGATGGTATGTGGACCTGCTGTTTTGGTTACCGGCAACCGTAGAAACATCAAATTCTGATGCTGCTCTACTGCTTTGTAGATCATATTTCAAGTCAAAGACTCCTGAGGGAGGTGGCCGCTTAAGACAGCCACCACCTGTTTCAGTCTGAACGTCAAGGTAGTGTCCAGGTCCTTGCACAAACTATGAGATTTTGTCGAGGGGCGTATCTCTTGATGTCCATAGTGTACCAAATTTGTGTTTAAATAAATAAATAAATAAATAAATAAAATTATACGTAGACCAAATCAACAGTTAAAAACTTCATGAAGTAGAGAAATTACTCATTATAAAATAACTCTGATCCGAATCTGTTTCTTTGAATTCAGTTACTGGGAACAGATTTTTCATGTGTTAGGCTATGACTCACATGTTACTAAACAGTTGCCTAGGCTGTAATAGGTATGTATGGCAGCACTTGAACCCTGTATCGGTTGTCTATAAGTCGAATGCTTTAAGTAATGAGTCGGTCGGTTTTCGACATAGAACTTTGCACATATGTGCGGCAGTTCAAGTCGCCACACTCCATGTAGAACACAAAGCAAGAGAAGAAAGTAGAAGAAATGCATAATAGAGACAGTAAACAGAGGTGTAAGACAAAGCAATAGTAATAACGAAGAACAAAACAGTTTAGTTGGAAATCATAAGTCACAAGGAGTGGATGCATCTGCACCCGCCATTGAGAACGATTTTGAGCCATGTCACCAATTGTTTCCAACCATTGGTTTTTACCGTCCCGAGGACCCCAACCAGGAAGTCTACATCTTCCTACGTGGCCTAGACTAACTGTTGTAGATTTCATTGACTGGTGCCATGTTTTGGTTTGACCGCCACTAGCTCTTTTCCAGCCTGGCCCTATATCAGCTAACATTGCCTGTCCGTCGAGGAAGGCGATGACTAGGCATACGTAGCAGATGTCCTAACCATCTCAGTCGATGTAGTTTCACAGTCTCGTCTATTGATTTCCCCTAGTAATGAGTCACATCTCACCTATTAGAATCACTGAAGTCAAATGTTGGTTTGCAGGGATTTGATTGTTTACAGCTTAGATCACGAATTGACACATCAGTTAGAGAAGTATTAGAAAGCCTGGGAGTACTGGACAGCTGTTTGTTCTAGTCTGAGACTCCTCATCAATACAAACCCACCCACCCACCAGGGTTCGAACTCAGCGACTACCGGTAACAAGGCGAGCGCATAGACTATTCAGCGGTCACTGGAAGCCGATCTAATGGTTTAATGGACGAAACAGCTGTCCATTACACCCGGGTTTTCCAATGGTTCTCTAACTGATATCAACTCGTGATCAAGCCAGTAATCAGTGAAGTGGTACAAATCTACTTACCTGAAAACTATAGTTATTAAATTTTTACGCGTCACTGATGTTAGAAAGAGGCAAAACACATGCAATTAACAGGTCATTATCATCTCTCAGTCAAGTTATTATCGCGTTATTAACAAGTCGTTGACATGCAATTGTTCTTGCTTCTGATTGGACGCTTGCACAATTCAAACTCTCAACCGGATTGGTTGATTTCCAGTCTACCTTATTTTCTATATAAATACAGTCACTTTTGTCACAATAAAGGAACCTGGTTTTACCGTTGATTCTCTTCGTGTTCTGCTTTACCAGTTAAGTGGGGACTGGTCAGTAGTTAAGCAGTGACCGCGTGACAGAAGATCTAACATCATAACAATTAAGTTGACTAATTGTCATTAAACATAAATTGAAGAATAACAACATAATTCGATGGAAATGACATCGCATCTTATATCTTCACCAATGATTATCTGTTACCATGATATACAGAGTTAGGTATAAAAATAAATTTCTGAAAATACCTTACAAAGTACACATCAAGTAGAATTTGACAATATTGTTTCTAAAAAGGCATTTGATGAACTGGACAAAAAAATCCTCACAACACAGCAGAACAAGCTGCATTCAGGAAAGGCAAATCATGTGCTGATCAAATTGCAACCCTACATATCATCAGAGAACAAAGCATAAAATGGAAGTCAAATGTCTACCTCAATTTCATCGATTTTAAAAAGGCTTTCTACAGTTTTGATCGTGGAGTAATTTGGAAACTACTTCAACACTATGGAATGCACTGTCCCAAATCTTTATTAATCTCATCCAACGTTCAAGATATGACAGTGACACGTGTCAAGTGATGCAAAACAGAAAACTCAGCGAGGCGTTTGAAGTGAATACAGGAGTAAGACAAGACTGCCTACTATCACCGACCGATGATACTCCTAGCTGTAGTGGATTGGATTAAGCAGCAAACCATGCTTGGGGAGCGAGAAAACGTCAGGTCGATAAGAAGACTGCAGAAGATCTGGGTTATGGCGGGTGATTTATTTTGAATTTCGCATAAACTCGAAGACCTGCAGGCGAAAACCAACAAGCTGGTATATGAAGCAGCCACTGAAGACAGGACTTCAGGTAAACATGAAGAAAACGGAGGGGATGAAGATACCTGGTCACCACCACCACCACCAACAACAACAACAACAACAACAAGCGTCAATCACTATCAACGCAATAGATTTGACAAAAATAACTTCCTTCAATTATTCAGGAAGCATTTTTTTAACTACATGCGATAGCAAGGATGAGGATGTCAAAAACAGAATAGGAAAGGAAGGTACACCTTCATCACTTTGAAATCAGTTTGGAAATCTTCTGCACTGCACTCAGCACAAAGAACGAAATTCGGATTTTCAACACCAATGTCGAGTCAGTCATTTCTTCTGTATAAGTGAGAAACTTGGTGCTAGCATTACGAAAAGCATTCCCAACAACAGGCTGCAGCAGATTTTCATCAATAGCTTCCACCTTCTCTGGCCCCATAATGATAATCAAATAGCAAGCTAGGAAAAATTAGCAACAAGAAATGATGGGAACAAACTAACCAAGAACCCATTGCTCAAAAAATATGCAAAAGAAAATGAAGTTGGATTAAGCACATACACTGAGAAGACCGTCTCAAATGACATCTCTCGCCAGACTAGCCCTCGAGTCGAATCCCAATGGGAAACGACGAGTAGGGCATCCCACAGTGACATGGAGGAGATAGTATGAGGAGGAGATGAAAGATTATGGGCCATCGTGGAGCCAGCTAAAGATCACCATAGAGAACAGGGTAAAGTGGAGACGTGCTGCTGTAGCGCTATATTCCACTCGGAACCCAAGAGAACAATAATAATAATATAATAAACAATACACTTGAGGTGATAAAATCGAATAACACAATATGATAACTAACCGAAGAGTCTAAGAGTGAGAGCTCTCAGTCCAATGGCATTTTTCACCAAGAAACCAGCAAGTGATTTTGGATATTGAACTGCTGCAATATCACGCACTAAATGTGAAGGATGTTCTAACTTCAGGACATGAAGATCTTGGTGCAACGTGTGCCCCACAAGAATACGATTCTAAACAAAAGGAACATATATTGATTTTAATGTCAGCTAAAAATTGGTTAGTTTAAGCTGTTAAAAAACTTAAAGTCGATTTGACACACAAAGCCAAAAATCGAGTACATGAGGTCAACTAGAACCTATTATTATTATTTAAACGCAGAAAAACTTGGTACAATATGGCACCAAGAAGATGCACCACACAATAATAATAAAACAACATTGATTAAGAGTAAAAATATAAATAGAGAACGAGTAAAGAACTTCATCTGGAAGGAAAAGTCATACTTAACAAGTTCAAACAGCATTCGTCAACCATCATCGAGAAGGGAAAAAAGAAGGAAATTGCAGCACCTCCGCCATTGATTACGATTCTTGGCCATAACCGATAACGTTTCGAGCCATCGATTCCAGCTATCTCTCGGACCCCAACCAACCAATACTAACCTAGCACAAATATCCTTCATCCCACGATGCCACGTCATGGACTGACCACCCTTCCGCCTTTTCCATCCCGTCCCAGGGCTAGCGAACACAGACCTGTACGGAAGCCTCCTCTGGGATGACATTCGCAGCATATGTCCAAGCCACCGGAGCCAGTGTTTCCAGATGACGACACTCAATGAATGGTGATCTCCACTGTGTTCAAACACACGCCGCCGAACCTCAGAATTACTCACGCGATGATGCCATCGAACGCAAGCAATCCTGCGGAGACAGCGATGATCGAACACGCAGAGCCGCTGCACATCCACAGCTCGGAGAGGCCAGCAACTAAATGCTTACAACAGCACATTTTGAAATAACGAAAGTAATAATAATAATATACTTACTTGTATGATACTTTTAACATGTTCTCGAGCACAAGAATATTGAATTGCACGAGACATATCTTCTTGTCTAATTCCACTCCATGGTGTTCGATAATCAGTTATCTCTTCTTCAGGATTTACTATAACATCATACAAAAGTTCTCCTTCATAATCAACAATACTGACACGTCCCAGAGCATTACGCTTTTTAATACCGACACCGACCATTTCACAATCCAAAGCCACAGGGCCTAAGTTAGTAGAAACACCTGTTTCATCAAATGGACTATTAAAAGTATCTATAGCTAAAAGGAATAAGTTGAGACAAATATACTGCTTACCACTAGTGACATTTTCGGAATGAGCACAATGGCGACATTTAATCTGAAGTGGACATTTAAACTTCAATCTCGGATGTTTCTTGCTATATATGTAATTTTTTTTAAAAAAAAGAAAAAAGGAAGAAACAGAGCGCGACAATTAACACTAACGAATTTATGCAAGAAGTAGTAGTCTTGAATATATTTCCAAAACCTGTTGAATTAATCAGGATACATATACTTGAACTGCTCTATATGATATGTAAAGCTAAAAGGTCTGATTAAAAATTTGCAGAGACAACTACTCAGACTGCTAGTAATGACAAAAACATTGGAAAATTATTATTGGTAATTTACTGTGCCTTGTTGGAATGTATATTAAGTCTTTTAGGTGAACTTTTTTTTGTTTTTTTTTCCTTCACGTTCCCCAGTGGAACATAGGGCTTCAAGCTAGTGGCTTGAAGTTCCTGTAACAGTGGTGTTTATTTTACAGGATGGGGTTGCTAGTCTCATGCCCAACCTTTCTTCTTTTTTACCAGCATTATTTCTGGCTTAGCGAAGTAAAGGAGTGCGTCGGTGGCCGGGGATCGGACCCCGGACCATGTGCATGGTCGGCGAGCATCCTAACCGCTGTATTAGCCACTAGAAATTACAGTTAATTCGGTGACTAACATTAAATGCCTCAGCATTAATCCTTTAACGCCTTGACTAACTGCTTGACTTTCAACACAGAGTTGCACAAGTTTAAGCTACCACACTCCATACAGCACTGACGAGGATATCAAAGCAGTGAGGATCGAGAAAGCAAGACAAGCTTTCATTACTCTCAAGTCTGTGTGGAGGTCAACAGCACTCAGCATCAAAAATAACATCCGGATTTTCAACTCCAATGTGAAGTCAGTCAGTGCTTCTATACGGATCAGAGACTTGTCATGTCATAAGGAGCATCTCAAACAAACTACAGACCTTCATTAACAGTTGTCTTCGCTCAATACTCAAGATCAGATGGCCAGAAAAGATCAGCAACAGGGATCTCTGGGAGCAAACCAACCAGGAACCGATTGTGCAATAAATAGGCGGGAAGAAATGGAGGTGGGTTAACCATACTCTGAGAAAACAAACCATCAAGTGACATCACTAGACATACCCTCGATTGGAATCCGAAAGGGAAGCGGCGAGTTGGTCGTCAGTGCAAGGGTGACTCTGAGGAGGTGATGTGAAGAGGAGATGAAGGCATGTGGGTAGACTTGGAGCCAGGTGAAAATTTTAGCAGAGAACCGAACGCAATGGAGACGTGCAGCTGAAGCCCTATGTTCCTCTAGGAATTAAAGGAAATAATAATAAATAATAATAATAATAATACAGCACACAAAAAAGTTAGACAAAGGAGAGAGAAAGAGTAGATTCAAAAGAACCATAATAAGCAGAAATGTATGGAAGGAAGAATTTAAAGTTCGGAAAATCCATGATAGCTTAGTGAATATGGGATATCATAAGGGGAGAATGCATCCATGTCAACGAGGACAATTTTAAGCCACTTCACCAGTGTCTCAAGGACCCGAACCAGGCAGCCTACACCAATTGTCAAAGACTTCATGAACTGGTTCTGGGTTCTGAATCGATCAATTTTAACTATTTTGCAACCCGACCACATGCTAGCTAACATTTGTCGACATGAAAGACTGTGGTTAGGTATACGTCACTCGTGTTCTACCCATCTCAATCGACATAACTTCATAACCTCGCCGATTGATTCTCTCTGCTTACCCAACAATAAACGCCTAACCTCAATATTACTGACCCTGTGACACCTATCACCTAACACGGGAAGTAGAACGCAGACACCTATGTTCAAAGGCAGCTAGTCGGGCTTTTCATCTCTTCCACGTTTAATGGCCATGTCTCGCTCATGGACATGAAGGAGGAGGGAGCGGACTGCTGCTGTGCAGTACAGATGTCCTTTGGTTGACAACTGGATATTACATCTACGCAAAAAATGGTGTAAGTCTGAAAAACGTTACATGAGCCTTTTGGATCCATGATGAAACTTCCTTAACGACCGGTTCATTCTGGCTGATACAACTCCACAACTAAGTGAAGTGGTCAGCACGCTCTACCACTTCACTTCTTATCTATAAGCCAGGAATTAGTTCAGCCCAGTCCTGCAGCATCACCTTACACTTGACAGAAGAAAATTACGTGTAAACCCTCGAGGATGGCTGCTCAAGGTATTCAGAAGGCTGTATTTCGTCAGCGTCTTCACCTGGGAGGACAATATCATCCCTATACTCCATGTAAAAAAACTATTCCCTGGTATCATGTCAGTCCCTAAGTCAATAAAGTCAGTTAGGGTCAATTATACTAATACATCTATAATGAAATTAGACAGATATGGGGACAGTGGGCATCCCTAACGGAAACCACTGGTTGTCATCACTTCAGATGACGACTCTCCGCAAGCTCTTACCTTGGACTCCCTTTACGGTCAAACATTGCCACAGTATCTCTTGGTCGGTAAAGTCAAATTCCGCCTTAAGGTCAAGAAATACAGCAATTAATGGATGCCGCGATGCATGCCTATGTTAGAGGATCTGTTGGAGGGTGAAGATATCATCAACACACCTTCTTTCTGACCTGAAGTCTTGCTTGATTTTCTCAGGTTTGTTCCTCCCTAGCACCACCTGATTATTGAACCTAGAACCCTAGATACTATATTAATCAAGTTTATGCCTCATAATTATCACAGGAAAACTTGTCTCTCTTCTTATAAACTTGGAGAGTCAATGGCTTACATCAGTCTGATGGGGGTACTTCTCGTTTCCAGACATTAAATTTAACCTTAGTTAACCCAGACAGCAGTTCTTTACCACCATCCTGCTGTTTGCCTTGTTTCAGATTAAAGACAGTCTTTGTAACCTCAGTTACAGATAGGAAACCAATGTCAACATCCCATTCAGGTAGGCGTTGGATGCTGGGTAAATTGGGAGTGAGCGTAGCAGCAGACCAGTTAAATTGCTCTTCAAAATGTTCCCTCCAACGTTCCAGTCATCTATCCTCAGAGCTAACCAAGGCTTCGCATTACTCCGAGACTGTCTCACCTAGCATTTACCCTTTGCAACCCATAAGCAAACATAATTGTCTCGTGTTGCCTGTCAGTGATATCTTTTCCATCTCTTTAAGGCGTTAAAATAAATAAAACTTTGGAAAATGTAAAGGCTAAAATAACTGAATTCTTTTCTATCACTAAATAAACAAATTTGTTGAGTTTCCTTACTGATAAATTTTTTTGAAAACCTGACAAATGAAACCATAGCATCTCATTTAATAATGTGTGGTAATACGAATGTGTCAAAGGTATTTCCAATAGACTGCTGTCTGCCGTTTATCAATACCTGTTTTCGCTCAGTAGCGAAAATGATACCGCCAAACAGAAAGGATAAGCAACAAGCAACCCTGGCAGGCGGCTAGCCAGGTAAAATCTATTACTTAAAAAAATATGCAGAGAGGAAAACGGAGATGCATTGAACACAAGATGAGGAGACCTTTAAGCAGTGTCACATACCTGAAAGACCCTCTAAAGGGAACTGAGTGGGGAGGTTGCAGGTGGCTGTGGAACCAGCTCAAAGTTACGACAGAAAGCCGAGTAGGATAAAGACGGATGGCCGAAGCCGTGTTTTTCACAAAATGTAGGTAATAAATAATAATGATGATGCGAAAGTGTCATTAAGTTATAAAAGAGTAAAATATTTTTAAGTCACTAATATATGTTTAGAGTATAGTGATTTTTGTCTTTTTAACTAGCTGCATACTAATTTGTCTGTCTTTTCCGAACGTCTACGTAGAAGCCAACTTACAACACTCAGTTTCCACAGGTGACCAAGGAATAGAGGTCATTCAAGAGCATGAAGATGTGTAACCTTTCAATTCGCAAGAAAATTTTGTTTTCATTGTAGTTTTCAGGAATCATTAACAGTTTCTACCTGTAAAGCAGTACAGATAGACAGACCAGAGCTGTGGTCTCAGTGGACCCTGTCATGGCGTCCGTGCAACGCTGGTTCCAGAACAGGCGTGACGGACTGAAGGCAAGGATAAGGAATCGGCGACATTCCCCATTGGTATGTTTCCATTTTTCATTTCACTTATTTCTAGGTCACCATCGATCAAAACATACAGTATGCAGACAGTAAAAGGCTGAATACTTCTGGTGATTCAAGTGATTTTTGACTTGTACGCTGTGTCTATACATTTTGCATTAAGAGTAAATATATGTTTTCTAGAATTCACTTGTCGTCTTCTATCAATAGTCTTTGAGCTGACACAAGTATGTCGTTTATTGCGACAAGCTGTGGACATAATAGGTATGCAATTGGCCTGGCTAGAGACATACTCTCCACTACATAGTCGTTGGCGAGTAGTTGAAGCTTAGGGTCAGTTAGAAAAACATCTTAAGACTTCAGCCTCACTGCAGAAACTTTGGGGTAGAGTGCAGATAACTGTTCCACGTTCTTCAATGCGTCCGAAGGTTTTGCCCCGGAAGTTCTTCAGTGAGTGCAAAGAAAGTGCTAGCTGTGTATATACATATATATATATATATATATATATATATATGTATACAGTCACGAAAATACTCCCATGTTTTACCTTCAACTCAAATGGAAATTTTGGCAGAAATTATAGTTTTTCCTATAAAATGTCTTCAAAGGACCCCTGAATTTCCATCTGGGCAGTCATGATGATGCAATATTACATTAATAATTCTTATAAGAATTAGTTTAGTGGTTATAGACAACAATTATACACAAAGAGAAATCTGAATCTGAAAAAATTCAGAATCTGAAACGGCAATAAACTTCTACAAATGGTTCAATATATCTGAAATGTCACAAACTAATAGTCCCCGCAGCTGACCTTGGCATCACTCGTCCGTCAAGGTTGTATTGTCCAAAAGTTTAGATTGGGCGGCGTGATACAGCTAAAAATCTTTTCGCGCACAATGTATGCTAAGAATGATAATACAAGCATTTTCATCATCTAATATGCCAATAACACACAATTTAGCTAATTTTGTAGATTTCTTACACCGAAGAATCAATTTTTTGTTCACATTTTCACATCGAGAGTTCCGTTTGCCTATTGAACAGTCTCTACCTTTCCATTGAGTATATGGGCATGTCCTGTTCAATCTTCGTTGGGCCATGTAAGTAAAAACACCGGTTTCAAGATTCACCGACTATTTTACAGTGATGTTGTTCCTTCTGGATCTTTGGAGTCTCTTGCTCTGTCCTCTGAGAAGATAAGATTTATCCTGATGACTCACTCCTTGTATGATACATTAGTCACACCAACAACCATATGTGTTTCATTGATTTGAACCACTTCCAGTCTATATGAATCCACTTCTGAAACAGTGACTATTGGTAGAAGTACAGTTTCCTAGTTCGCCAAATATGACAGGATCTCCGAAAACCATAATGTGCATCGGACAAGTCATCATTTGCCAGGTGACCTGGGTTTAATCTTTTCAGTATCTTAACTTGCCTGAAATCATCCCACACGCTCAGGGTCATTGGAAGAGTTAGACACCTATGAGTTATTTTCGCCCCTGTTAGTCGGCCATGTTAGATTGCCGTCATGTAACCATTCGTTTATATATCGGCTTTTATGTTTATCTTGCAGTTATTCACAACTTATATTGATGCACATTGTTCACAAATGTTGCATTTCATTTCATTTTCGTTTCCGTTGATGTTAAATTAGTTATTTCGTTTGTTTCGAAAGTTTTTACCACCAGGTCAGTTCATTCATTTCATTGTAATTTGTGGTGGCCGAAAAACATGTCAAATTATACGTTCACAGTAAGATAGTAAAAATAGGGAATTCACAGAAAATCGTGGTTGTTACGTGAGATTGAGCAAGGACACAATCTGATTCCTCGCGCAACAAGGACGAAGCTTCTTCCCTCTTCAGCTTCTTGCTTATCACACCTTCAACCAACTCTGCCTCGCACCGATCAATACATCCACATTAGGATATTTTGCTCCGATCTAATTTTTCTCTACGCAAGTACTCTCCGGCATTCGGCATCTCTTATGCGTAGATCAGGATATGTACACTCAAAGAAAAGACAATTTCATCCCCATCATTTTGTACATCTACATTTTGAGTACTTTGGGACTATTATGATATTTCAAATAACCATTTTCTGTGTATATTAACTTATGTTGACTGAATGCCCTCTATATGCGTAAATGTTAGTATTTGTTCTGTCCTTTTTAATTACGCGTACAAACGGACTTAGCCGTTCAATCCCTTACAAATTGTCTCATACGTTGCATTCATACGTGGTTACAGTGTTTTAGTTATTTTTCAGCTGTTTATGAAATAGTACTATGCAGAAGTTTTGGAACTCATTCACATGAACATGTTTGGCTGGCAGAAGCTATTGTTTCCAATTCACCTGTTAGTTGCCGTTACTTTTACTGGCTCAGTTGGTTACTCAGTATGTAGAAATCCGGAGAAAACATTGTCTTTCAAGTTCGTGTTTATAACATGCAATAATCTACGAGCCAATCTGGTAATGGGAGCACTGTCAGAGTTGATGTTAGAAAGGTTTTCGAAGAACACATTAAACCTGGAGAATTTAGAACTTGGGTTGAAGTTGAAAAAGTTCCGAAGCTTTTGGAGAAAGTAAGTATGCCATTAGTGTCTACTATCAGTAAAAAAGCACCGGATGTGTTGTGAGAGAATGTAAACTAAACAGTGATGAGCCATATGTGAAGTATGAATATGTGGTGTTTGTATGTACTTTCGGAAACAAAAAGAAATCTGGAGGCGATCAGGAACCTCTAAAGGGTATGTGTCACATATAGTTGGTAATACACAATGTACTAGATCTAAATACACGAACTAGAACTGTCTGTGGTAAAGCCAGTGTTATCAGCCATTCAATATGTTTCGGAACGATTTAAAAAGCGGATAGCATGCAATGACCTGGTGGGTGTAAGAATTATCCTTAATAAAGGTAGGACTTTAATTACCAAGCATAACGAGTCGGACTGTGGTCTACAACCAGTGTTTATTTCAAAGTAACAACAAGCTGAGTAGCTGATTATAATTCGGTGTGAATACAATAGGTGAATGCAAATCGCTTGTTTCAGTTCAAATAATCGAATTCTTACTTTTCGAAGGTTTGTAGTTTCTCGATGGGTATAATTACGGGATGTCCATCATTTTTAAGAGAACTTTAAATAAAATTTCCTTGAATCGGTGATCTTCTTTTGCTTGGCGAAACATTTATTGACACGATTAGACGAATAGATAGCAAAGTAGTATATTCTGTTACCGAGAACCGTGGTCGTTATGCTTCGGATTGATATCGCGCGTCTAACTGTTATAACCCTGTGGATAGAACTTTTTCTTTATGGTGAATTGCAACATCTAAAAATCATAAGCACACTATCTTCGGTGAATTTATTTTTACTTTTTAAGTGACTGCAAATAGTGAGTCATTTGAGGTGATCGGGTAAATGCCCCCAAACGCTTTCGTGAATATTAGGATGTATTTGCTTTTTTCGACTAGGAGACGATCTTTTCACCAAGAAAGTTCTCAGGATATCCACTTTTACTTTTTAATTCAAAGATAACGTTAAGTTGCCTACCAAGGTAGTAGCTACAGGAGATTTCCTTTAGTGAGAACTATTTCTAGGTAGCTACGTAGCTGTAGGTAATGCGTCACAAAAATAAGCAACGTACGCTGACTGTGTCTTAATATATCAAACGTTGTATAACTGGTCAAATCGTAGTTCTTAAATACTAGTTGGTTTTATAAATAATGAATGTCCTGTACAAGCGTTCATTTTGAAATGCATACCTAGCTCATAAACATTATGCCTGCACGTGGTATATTTAGGGCTGATACACCGTGTGATGTGTTCTGTGAAACATGCTCATGTCACGATTAGAGAAAGAAGAACAGGTCAAGCAGGATAAAGTGACGTCATTAAAGTCTGTTGGTTGTAATTAGGTGCATTAAGGCGTAATTTATTTAATATCCATAAAGTAGTTGTGCAAATATTGCAGCTGTTGATCGTAAAAGTAATGGATATCAGATAATAAAAATTGTTTCTCAGATCATTTTCAAGCAAACAGTCTATTTGGTGATGTCACTGCATACTAACAGATGAATGAAGTAGCGATCAACACTAAGTCACTACATTTACTTGTACTACAGACTTTGCGTTTAGCAATATGCGGACTTGCGACTGGCTGAATAAGGCGACCTTAGAGTATCGAACAGGACAGAAGTATTACTCAGCTTGCTAAATACAACTCAATTTTTAGAATGTGCTATTGTATAGAAACAGACGCTAAATCCTATGAATGACTAAAGTAACAGTTTCACAATACTGCAGTAAATCTCCATCTCACTAACATGCATAGATCCGAATTCACATATTACGAAAGCATATAGTATAGCGACGCCTTGAAGAAGTCCAGGAGAAGTTATAATTAAGAGTGTATTGAACATTTTATTAGTTTACAAAAGAAAATTTTGATAATGGGTATTAGCGTTAATTTGACCGATTGACATTTCATATTGGACAACCTCCATTTACCTAAAGAATAAAGCACAAAATGTTGTAAAATGTATTTCTACAAATCAGTGGACAATCTGAATACACTGATTCTCTTAATACCTATGCAACGACGGGTAGCGCCGTATTTCCTGCTTTTAACGGACCCATTCAGATGGGCCGCACACGTACGACTATCTACCGGGATCCAGTCAAGAAGTGATTTTTCCGCCCTAACACTCAGTGCAATCCCTACACCTGCGAGTCCTCGCGAGCTTGCTGAGGGGTCTCCTGACACGCTTAAAGTGAATTTCGTAGATTCACCTTGTTGGCCGGATGAGGTCAAGTGAATGACCACACTCGGGTCTTGTGTGTGTGTGTCTCCGAAACACAACATACATCCATGGCTCTAGATTCCAGAGTTCTTGCTAGTGATGCCTGTTGTCCGATTCGGCAGAGGGGCCTGACGTTGAATGCTCCTATATGAAGTTGGCGACGTGGCTTTAAAAGGCTGTCTGGGGTGTTTCTATGGCTCCTACCTTTGTTTGTGGACACAGATTGAAGTGAAGATGAGTCACTAGCATGCAGAATAGTGCTAACTGTAGTTGAGAAGCAAGATGAGGAAGGTGATGTGAGTAAGGAAGAGCGATGCTCAGGAAGGCTTCGTGTGCTTTTGGAAGTGTGTGAACGGTTGTTACTTCGCGGCTGCCAGCACCGTGGAAGTTGATTGATCCTTCGGGAACCTGAAACAGTGTTGCGTGACCGAGGAGCCCAGGGGACAACTGCTTGAGGCCGGTCACACGCGGCCTGTTTTTGTTCGTTTTTTTTGTTTGGCGTGTCCCAGTGGCATATTTATCACTTCTGCCCTGTGACATGGCAGCAGGAAGTGCTGTCCTTTTTAATCCGGGCCCCCCGATCCGGTATGATTTTTTGTGAATTTTTTTGAATCATAGTATTGGATTGGGTAGCTGCTTTTTGTCTAACCGCTATCCAAACAACCTATCTGACATGGTAGGACCTTACCTGTAGATTAAGCTATGGCATTGTCTGTGGACGCCATTAAGCGAAGGCTGGAAAATCATGCAGCGACACAAGGACTGCGTCCAAATGACCTATCCCCTTAAAATCCCATGCACCATTCAGGGGTAGACAACTAAGTTCGTGGTTTTACTTCTATACATTCTCTGCCGTCTTACTGTCCTGAAAACTTCACCTGCTACACCTATTATTATTACAGATATATATCAACTTCAAATTTAATCAGCTGACTGTTGTTACGTTTTCTTTATTTCTTTTTCTGTCTGTTAGTTTGAATAACTTCACTTATTATATCTATCATTATTATTATTATCTCTTTTGTTTTGACGACGATACCGGAGGACTAACTGATGAAAGGATCAACTCCAT